CATTCCGGTTTCGAAGACCAAGCCTGGGATTTGGGCTGAGAAAAACTCATTCTGGTGTCAGCATTAAATACCTGTTTGCCTAATAGCACAGCTTAATCCTGACAAATCAAACACCTGGCTAGCATTTAAGAACAGCAAATGAGTTCTCATCACTGCAAATATTCTCAACACAGGGGCAAGGAAGTTCAGAGTCACTCACTTCTACAGTCAATTACCTTTAATTCAYATTTTTACTGCACAGGTCTAACATTGCAATAATAATAAAAAACTCCACAGATACTGTCTGCACAAAGAGAATCCAGAAATTTAAAGATAAAATACACAGTGAGATTTCTCTTAAGAAGAAGGTTGAATCAATATGACTCACGGTAGCAATGAAGTATTTCCAGCAAAAATAAAACTGCCTAGAAAATTGATTAAAAAAAAGGAAAAATTTAAAGAAGCAATTGACACAGGCTCTTCAAATTAACATTAGAGTCAGGAAAGAGAACACTAACACAGAAAACATACAGGTTCTTCCTGCTGCCACGTGCCTTGACACCCCCTCCCAAGGCTTCCGATTCTGCTCTTCTCAATCACTATAAAGAGTCTGGGAAAACACCGTTCTTTTCATTTGGGTTTTGGGGTTTTTTTCTCAGCTGTTCTGTTTTAATAAAGCTGTGTATATCTCCAGAAATGGAACAAAATTCCAAACTGGAACAGGTGAAGCTAAAAACTACAGTCACAAGCACATCATCTCAGTTTGCATTGCTCTATTTTGTCTCCTTTTGACAAGGATTTCTAAGAAACACCAAGAAAACGCRGGGAGTTTTCTCGCCCTTGGAGTGGCAGTCAATGGAAGTGAAAGGAGAAGTCATCTTTAGTAAGACAGGTTCTCATCTGATTGCACTGCCAACTATTTAAAAACTCGTATTTCTTAACCAACCGTCAAAGAAGAAGTGGTGTCATGAAAGCAATGCAATAGTCGGACTCCAGACGGGTGGAGAAAATGGCTTTTATAGTTCTCCAGTGAAAGAGAACTATAGAATRAAACAAACACCCCACCAACATAAAAAGCCACTTCACAAGCAAGGCCCATCTCCAACAAGATGTGATAGTTGAGATTACAGGTAGCTCTTATAATTTTTATCTTCCTATCTTTACAACCACAGAGAAACAAAGACAGTGTATTACTTTTTCTAGCTCTTTTGAACGCTGCTGCGGAGCTTTCCTGCTTAGCACATATAAAGTTGAGTTGTTGTGACTGTTTTCCCCGTTTTCAGGAGTTTTACAGAGCACAGCGTTCGCGCGGGGCGGCGAGGGGAGCTGTGGCAGGAGCCCCGGGGGGCAGCACCCCATGGCAGCCAGGCGGGGCAGCAGMTACCGGGTTGGGGCTCCCCTTCCAGCTACGCGCCCTGCTGCCCCCGAGCCCCATAAGAGGCAGCCACGGGGTCGAAGTGGGGTGGAGCGAGGCAGGCGCACGGCCACTGCAGAATAAACAGCCAGCATCAACAGAGAGAAGGGACTGGGCAAGAAATAAGGAAATCAAGAGGTCCTAGAAACTCTGCAGCTGTTATTTKGGTGTGCTCTGCAAGACCGATGAAGAGGAGGGGAAAAAGCCCTCAGATGCATGTGGGAGCACGCCTTGGGGGTCACTGTTCTGTCACGCACGTGGCCAGCATCAGCACAGCGAGTGTGCCCAGCACCTGCCAGCACCCAGGCACACGGCAGCCCAGGCCCCSACCTTCTCCTTATTCACCATTTTACGACGATGCGTAACGCTGTGGGGTCTTCCTCTTAACCTGTAGGCAGAATCATCTTCAGAAAGTGTCTGAAAAAACATCCTTTATTTATTAGAAAGGCTGCATGTTAAAGTAATTATTTTTTCCCTTGCCATTTATTTAAAAAAACCCCAATAAAGACAGAATCTTTGCACACAAATTATAGAGTAACTGCATCYTCAATAACTACCATACCAAAGAAAAATGTGTTTCTGGAGAGGAGATAAGAGACCAAATCAAATAAAAAATTTTGTTTGCTTTGTTTCGCTAAGGACCTGCTAAGAACCTGGGAAGAGAGTTTTTACTGGGAGAGGGGGCAAAAGAGYGAGAAACTGAGAAACAGAAAGAGAGAAATTTATGATTTATGACCCATTGACTAAGACATTAATGCCTGGCAAGGTGTCATCTCAGAAGACTCAAGGACGGCTCTAAAGCCAATTGCATCACTTGGAAAGCAGGCAGGTTTCGGCACTTGGCCTTCTCAGCGGCGCCCACGTCACTAACCCTTCACGTGCAATTAGGGCCATTCAAAGCAGCAGATTTCAAGAAGTTCCCTCTTGTTTAGACCAAGGAAGTTGCATGACGTGCACAAGGACCAGCCCTTATCAAGAGACCCACCCTCGATCATAAACGAAACTAACCCAGATATTTCCAGCCCTCATTTCTTTGCAAGGCTGGTTTATTCATGCTGAGCTCAGGCCCATTGCTTGACACCTCACAGCTCAAAGGCTGCCAGGGGAACAAGGCGGTACTGAATTTAGGGATTCACATCCAAAACATATGTGACCATGTGTGTGACAAAAACTGAAGAAGCCTCAAGGCCGAATGCTCCCAAGACAGCTCGTTTAGAGAGTTCGCTGCTGCGACTGGGGTTGAAGGGCTGCGAAATTGGGCTCCGTTTCTGTATCGGGAGCACCTGAGCTGTGGGGCTGGCCAGGCCTGGGCACCTCAGGCCAGGCAGAGGCCGGGCACATTTTGGGCTTGCATTCCCGCAGGAGCAGCTCTGGGGAGCCCCTCTGTCCCGGCCCAGCCGGGAGGCAGCAGGAGCACCGGGCAGACCTGTCTGGGGAGCCGTCAGAGAGCAGAGCCCCATGCGGGTGCGCGGCGCCCACCAGCCCCGGGGCCGCGGCGGCTCCTGCAGCCCTCCCGCTGCCCGCCCTGGCTGGGCACCAACCAGCCCCGCTGCCCTCCCCTGCCCCCGGGAGCAGGATGGGCCCGGGCACGGCCGGCTCCTCCTGTGGAGCGAGCGGCCTCCATGGGCCGCCCGGCGCCGCTCGGGGCGCCCGGCCCTTCCCAACAGCCGCTCCCGTTCCAGCGCGGGAAGCTCTACCCACCTGCCTCCGTCAGCTAAGGGGCAGCACCACAGCGGGAGCAGCCGCCGGGCCCGGAGCCGCCTCCCGCCTTGAGGGGTCCCRCAGGGGCCGCGCCAGGAACCGCAGCCCCGACCAACAGCCAAGAACCCCRGGGAGCCGCCGGCGCCCGGAATGCGCCACAAAGGCGCCAGGAGACACGAATAATGCTGGAAACCGACAACCGCGCAGCCCCACGTCCCCTCCTCCCGTCATCTGGAGCTCGGCAGCGCACGGAGCGGCAGCCCCGTTCCCCGATTGCGGCCGTCGCTGAACGCTCCCGTCACCTACACGGCGCTCTCAGGCCTGAGGGCAACGAGAACCCAACACTCCTATGGCTGTGACGGAGAAAGCCGTGYGAGCAGCAGGCAAGCTCTAAGCTAGAAAAGAGGAAAATTAAATAAAAATAGTAATTTTAAAAAAGCGCTAGAGATCTGGCTGACCAGGATGATGAGATCAATATTCATACAGTTCAAAATTATAAAAATATAATTTTATGATATATAATATTTATTAAATAGGTAAGGGAGACCCACCCACCACCGCTCGGCCCCAAGCCTTATGCACAGCAGCCTTTGGCTGACAAGGACTCCAAGCAAAAGGAGCCAGAAGTGAAAACCCGGGAGAGTGCCTTTCTCCATCGCCTTGCAAGGGAGCCCAAGTCTGCCTGGCACCTTCTCAAGAGAATTTAACACCAGAGTGGTGACAAAACACAATAACGCACAGGCATCCGATGCGACTTCCTGACGTGCTCTGCGCTATCCCCAGGCACCCCTCGGAATTGGGGCAGGTTGTTGCTACTTGTTCCACCCTAGAGAAGAGGAGGAGGAAACAGCCAGAAGAGAATGGGTTTATTCCAAGCCTCTAAAGAAATGCTTGTTTTTCCTTTGGCAYGGGTGTCCCCTAGAGGGGAGCAGGGTGAGAGCTGAAAGAACTGATCCGACAACACTGATTTCCAGCTTCCAAAGGAAAAAAAAATTACTTTTTTACAAGTAAATTCAGCTTCTACCCCAAAGTAAAAATTTCCACTTAAGACAAAGGTCGGCAGAAAAAAACAAAACTCGATTCCCTGCAGTAACCCCACTAACAGATGCTACTTTCTCATGTAAATCTCTAGACGAAGTTCTCCAACACGGCTACAAAAAAAGGTACCAAAGCCCAAACAAGTGGAAAAGGAAGCAGGCAGCGGGGTTTGGGTGGCTCCTCAGGGCGCTCTGGGAGCCCTCCTCCGCCTTGCCCGCTGTGCCCAGCGCTGCTCCCGAGGTCGCCGGTGCGGCCTCCGCGCTCCCCTACCCTTCTGGGGGAGATACCTGTGTGCTCCGCGGGAGCCGCATCCTTCTGCCACCCGGGAACACGGGCCTGAAGGTGCCACTCTGACCCCAACGCATCACGTAGACCTCTTCCCTTTGGTGGAATCTCCTCCATCTAAAACATCTCCAYTGCCCGGGGATCTGACACGCGTTTTGCAAGATACAGCCCAGCTAAAAGCTTCAGGGAACTACAAACAGGTAACCGCGTCAGCCAGGATATTTTAAATGTATTCAAGCAATTCCCCTACTCTCCAGGTGTTTGCAGACAGTCACCTATCACAAACTGCTCTGGGTCCTCAGTATCATCTGCAGTCCAATATGTTTGGCAGCAAAAAAACATTTACCTGAAGTATGAAGTGCACCCAAAACACTCGACTGTAATAATATTTGGTTGCTATTGTAATATTTGCTTCCATTTCTTAAAGGTGTGTTAAGCGGGCGAAAAAAGAAACCATTGATATATTTTCAGCCCCAATTCACTTAGTTTCTTTTTATGTTTTTTTCTAATTATTTAGAAGCAGTTAAGAAACTAAGCAACCCATTAAAGTGAAGTCCCCACGAAGGTGGAGGGAGGCATTTACCCAGCTCCTCATAGGCAGTGGGTGGGCACACAGAGCAAGGCAGTGAGCAAGGCCATCTGAAACGCAGGAAGAGCTCAGCAGTCCCAGGAGCCGCAGAGGAAAACTAAAAGAAACATAAAAGCAAAGGCAAAAATAAGGAAGTGGTAGAAAGGGAGATGCAGAAAAGATAAGCTGAGTTGCAAGGGTCAGACTCAGAAAGTTTACGCGATTTTTCAAGCATTTATTCAACGGATGTATCACTGTGATGCTTCTTCCAGCACCTGACCCCTCATCGAGCACCTGCTGCAGCTCTAGCAAATGCAGTATCTCCTTAAAACACCATTATTTCCATCTAAGTATGTTGCAGTTGTCAATGTTTCAGGCAACTGGCAGCACGCTTAGGAGAAAGGGAAGAAAAGTGTTTTCCATTTCAGTCTCTTTTCGACCATCACCCATCACACATCTTAGCCCTTATCAAGGAGCCGGGCAAACTGAGGGTCGCTTGCCCAAGCTACAGAAATTAGCTAAAAAAAGGCAGAATAATTGACACTTCCGAAAGATTTGTTCATGACAAAACAAAGAAACCTCACTGCATTTGTATCTTGTGCATGAATAACACACATGCTCTTTGCTTTGGCCCTGCCAAACGCTGCACCCCTCCAACAGGGCTCTGCTGGACTCGAGAGGTGTCACCAGCCTCAGCAACAGAGGTGCTCAGACCAGTCTCCATTTCAGGAGCTTTAAGGACTTGTACTTCCAAGCTTTGTATTTTTCCTAAAAGAAAAGATTACAGTTTTACTTTAATTAAAGCAAGGAGCTTTAATTATGATTTTAATAGCTGAAACCAGTCATTAGACACCACAAAACTTGTAGCAGGGGGAACTGCTCACTGCAGCATCTCTCTGAAGATTTTTTTCTGTATTTTTTTTTGCGTATGAAAATGAATTTTGTCAAAAATAGCTGATAATTCCCCCTCACTGGCACCCTTACGCCAGGTAGCAGCACACTCGACGTCTCTATCAGGTTGCTGCTTTTCTAACACGTTTGCTACAGGAGCACTTCATCAGCATACAGGCACACCCCACATGCTCATTTTTAAAAAAAAAAAATTGACATAAGCCATAAATCAGAGTCACAGTTACGACCCAGGAGACTGTGCTGAGCAAATCAATCCCGTCACTGCTTTCAACCAACACACCTGCGGCTGGAGGACAGAGAGGGAAGTGCAGCCAAGACTGCAAGCGGGTGGAAAGGAAGCCGGGGACACCTCGGTGCCACCGAGATGAAAGCCAGGAGAAATGATGGAGGTGGGTAAGTGCAAGGCAGCTTCCTCACGTACTCCCTCAAACCCACCACACTCTGCTCTCTGCCAGCTCACATCACTGCTTAGGCCAGCGCAGAACTCTGCGCAAACCGAAGAGCAGAGCTCTACGAAAACTTTGCACCAGGAAAACAGGCACAGAATGAGAGGTGGAGATGGCAGCTTTGGTCCCAAGCGGGAGGTGACTCCCTTCTCTGTATTCTTCAGCCGGTTCACTGACCTCTGAATTTAGGATAAACAGCTAACTCTGAGTACGGAATATATGCACACGCATGGTTTCTATGAGGTGATGCACTAGGCAAAAAGGCAGAGGGAAGGGAGTCAAACTTGCCCGCCAGGCCTGTCCACGCTGCTCACGTGAACGAGAGGGAGCAGATGGCAGCGGCGGCAGCAACCGAGACCCACAGCCGCAACGAAACCCTCGGGAACTTCCTTTACGCTCCCCTCTGGAAAAACGATCCTGCTTCGATGAAATATTATCACCTAACAGGAAAAAACTTACTTTCCTATCTGCTTCATTAAAAAGGCAAACGCATCCAAAAGGTTGATTTTCATTAGGCTTCTACTTTCATATTTTGGAATCTTATATTAATATATAGTTACTAACTTAAAGTACAAGTCTGCCCTCTAGTGTCTAAAATAAGTCTGAGTAATCTGAGTAATACTAAGGGAGTACTTTCTAAGTTAAAGTCTTTAAAACTTACAACTGTTTTTAAGAAGGTAGGACAGATTAAAGCAAAAGAAAAAAAAAGGCACATAACGGTTGGACTTACATCATAGAGCTAAGTTAACAAGCGGAGCCTAATAACCAAGTCAGACTCATTTCATCAAATGAAAACAAGTTTTTGCTGGGCACCATATAAGCCACATGATTTGTAAGAGGAAGCCAAGGTAAAAAAAAAAAAAAAAACAAAAAAAACACTTTGGGAAGGTGGTGAGCTACAGTGAATACTGACAGAAGCCACGGGAAATCCTCTAGGTTAAAGATTTACTGCTTTGTAGGATTGCACAGAATGGCTGAGGTTGGAAAGTACCTCTGGATATCATCCTGTCCAAAGCCCTGCCATCCACAGCRCGTTGCACGGGACCCTGTGCAGGTAGACTTTGAAAATCCCCAGAGAAACAGACTGTGGCGCCTCTCCTGCAGCCTGTGCCCGTGCTCCACCACTCGCTGGCACCCAGGCCACGCATCCCAAGCTTCCCCATGAGGATGCTATGGGAGACGGCGTCGAAAGCCTTGCTCAAGTCAGGGTACACAACAGCCATGGCTTCCCCCTTATTCCTCCATCCATCCATCCATCCATCCATCCATCCATCCACTCACCCACCCATCCGAGAAGGCCATCAGACATTTTAAGCATGATTTCTCCGTGGTGAATCCATGCTGACTACTCCTGATTACTTCTTTTCCTCCACATGCTTAACAATGATATCCGGGAAGAGCTGCTCCATCACCTTTCACAGAATCACAGAATATT